TCCCCCCTCCCCCCTTTGGGACCCCCCCCCCAATTCCGGACCCCCCCCCCCCCCCCCCCCACATCCCCTCACCCCCAAATCGGGGTCCCCTCCCCCCTTCCGAATTTGGGACCTCCCCCAGCCCCAAAATCTCCCCAAATCGGGGTCCCCCCACCCTTCTCCCCTCCCCCCTCCCTTTGGGGACCCCTCGGGACCCCCCAAATTTGGCGTTTTCTCCCCTCCCCCCCCCCCTTTTACCGGGTTCTCTCCCACTTTCCCTTTCGGTTCCCGCCGAGGCTCCGCCCACCGCGGCGTGATGACGTCAGCGGAACGCGCGCCCCGCCTCTTTGGACGAGCGCGTGACGTCATCGCGCCAGCGCCGCGCGCGGACGCCCTTGGGCGGGGGGAGGGGATGGCGGGACGTGAGTGAGGGGAGATGAGGGGGGAGGGGGGGTCCTGAGGGGAAACTGGGGGAAATTTGGGGCTCCGGGTTGGAATTGAGGGGGTCTGGGGGGCTCTGAGGTGGAACTGAGGGGTTTGGGGCGGGGGGAGAATAGGGGTGTGGTGAGGGGTTTTGGGGGAAACTGAGGGGATTTGGGGGAAACTGAGGGGATTTTGAGGGAAATTGTGGGGATTTGGAGGAATTTGAGGGGATTTGGGGGAAACTGAGGGGTTCTGCGGGGGTTTGGGGGAAATTGAGGGGATTTTGGGGAAAATTGTGGGGATTTGGAGGAATTTGAGGGGATTTGGGGGAAACTGAGGGGTTCTGCGGGGGTTTGGGGGAAATTGAGGGGATTTTGGGGAAAATTGTGGGGATTTGGAGGAATTTGAGGGGATTTGGGGGGAAACTGAGGGGTTCTGAGGGAAATTGAGGGAGTTTGGGGAAAATTAGGGGGGTTCTGAGGGGATTTGGGTGAAATTTGGGAGGTTCTGGGGGGATTTGGGTGAAATTGAGGGGATTTGGGTGAAATTGAGGGCATTTGGAGTTGAATTAGGGAACGGAGTGAAGGGAATTCAGGAGCATTGAGGGATCCCGAGCGGGGTGATGAATCTGGGGGGAATTTTAGGATTCTTGGGGAGGCCTGAAGTGTTTTTGGGGTGTTTTGGGATGTTTTTGGGGTGTTTTTGGGTCTCTGAGCCCCCTTTTCCCCAGGCGTGGGCAATGCCCTGCGGGCTCTGTGGGCCAAGGAGCCGGTGATCACCGCCAGCCTCGCCATCGCCGCCGTGGGTGAGGCCCTGGGGGTTTTGGGGGGTTTTTGGGGGGTTTTGGGGGGTTTTGGGGGTCTCACGAAGCTCCCCTGACCCCCCCTTGTGCCCCTTCCCCAGCGTTGGTGTCGCCGCTGCTGAGCCCCTACGCCAAATATTCGGGAATGATCAACCGGGCCACGCCCTACACGTACCCCGGTATGGAGCCAAAAATATCCCAAAATCAACCCAAAATCAACCTAAAATTAACCTAAAACTGCCCCAAACTGCCCTACACCTATCCCGGTATGGAACCAAAAATATCCCAAAATTAACTTAAAATTAACCTAGAATTAACCAAAAACTGCCCCAAACTGTGCCCTACACCTATCCCGGTATGGAGCCCAAAATATCCCAAAATCAACCCAAAATCGACCTAAAAATTAATCTAAAAATGACCCAAAAATAATCTAAAACTGCTCCAAACTGTGCCCTGCACCTACCCCGGTATGGAACCCAAAATATCCCAAAATTAACCTAAAATTAACCCAAAATATCTCAAAATTAACCTGAAATTAATCTAAAATTAACCTAAAATTAACCTTGAACTGCCCCAAACTGTGCCCTGCACCCAAAATATTCCAAAATTAACCTAAAAATAACTTAAAATCTCCCCCAGACCACCCAAAATATCTCAAAATAGCCCCAAACCAACCTAAAAATTCCCTAAAACTGCCCCAAAACCACATCCTGCACCCAAAATATTCCGAAATTAATTAAAAATTCCCTAAAATCGCCCCCAAAACCACGTCCTGCACCCAAAATGTCCCAAATTCAACCTAAAAATTCCCTAAAATCACCCCCAAACCGTTCTTGGACCCCAAAATCCCCCCCAGGGACCCCCCAAAACCTCCAAAACCCCCCCAAATTCTCATCTGGGACCCCCCAAATCCCCCTCAGGACCCCCAAATCCCCCTCAGGACCCCCCTGAGACCCCAAATTTCTCCCAAAATCTGGGGTTTGGGGGTCCCCCTGAATTTTGGGGACCCCCAAACCCCTGCCCCTGAATTTTGGGGACCCCCCCTGAGCCCCCCGAAATTTCCCCCCCCCCAGTTCCTGTGAGGGACGACGGGAACCTCCCCGATGTCCCCTCGCACCCCTGTGACAAGGAGGGACCCAACCTCCAGTGGCTCAAGGACCTCTGAGGGACCCCCAAAATCACCCCAAAATTTTGGGGAACCCCCCCCTTGATCCTCGTGAAGGGTTTTGGGGGGGGTCCCCCCAACTTTGGGAGTCCCCGAAATACAGAATTGAAAGGTTTTGGAGGTTTTTTTTTGGGGGTTTATTGAGGGGTTTTGGGGGGGGTTTGGGGTTGGTTTTTGGGGGGTCTCTCCGGGGTTTTGGGGTGTCAGTCGAAGTCGGGGTTGGAGAATTTGGGGATCCTCGGGGGCTTTTCGGGGGGGCTGGGGGGGGGCCAGG